GTCTTCATATAGTCTGACGTGATCCCTACACATTATTTGTAATTGAGTTCGTCATTTGGAATTCTTTAATTAAAATTATTCGTAATCTCGTCTTTTAAGTCTTCATACTTGATAGATTTGTTTAATTTCAACGCGTAGATTTGGTAAAGTTAAGAGTTAGGCAGATCCTAACGTCTTGACCGCAGTAAGCCGTAGTTAAGAAATTTCGAGTAAAGACTTAATAACGTGACCACCTCAAGTTGAAGAATTCCACAGTGACAATATATATCTTCAAATGTAAGATCTATATTAGGTTTAGCGGATTCAGTTTCACTTATTGAAAACATTTCAGTAATCTTCTTAGAACCTGAAGTTGCTTTTTCTAATATGCTCTTTTGTTACGTAATGTTGATTATGTAATACTATCATATACTGGCTTACGTACATTTACATCTCATACATGGGATTTTCAACTAGTTGTTCTAGTGTATTTAGTTGCAATGCTTTCATTCCATCTGTAATTTTATCATTATCAAAGCATATTTTCTCATCTATTCAAAATGTGTCAAATAATAATTCATTAAATTTATCGGGTTTAGCATTTGATAATTCAATTATTATCTCTTCAGAATCTTCTGTTTGCTTCCAATGCTTTTTAATGGCTTTTCAAGACTGTCTAGTGCGTTTGTTTGCTTTTTGCATTATAATCCTGCTAAGCTGAAATAAGAAAAGTTAAAAAAAACTGTCGTGAAATGACGTGAAATGACGCGATATTAATGACTTCCCATGATCAAAATTGATCACGTGATTGAAAATTTGGCATGTGATTGAGTTTTAACCAATGAAATTACGAATTGAATATGAAAATGATCGGTATAAATTTCAGCGGTAGCTTAGCCATTTGATGCGACTAAGCCGTTTGCACCATAGTAATTTCTGATAAACCGTGAAGTTACTATCAATAATACTGCAATAATGATTGGTTAGTTATCACGTGTCGGAATAAAATTATTAAAATTCATAAAAATTCCGTTTTATTCCATTATACGGCAAAAATTCCATTTTATTCATTAAATATAAAAATGGAATAATTCCAGGTCTCTGGTTTGAGATTACACGGTGTGTTTTAATTTTCACGTGATTGTAATATAGTTGACTAAATTATTTAAGTCATTATCTATTATACAATTAAATATTTACAAGTGAAATATTAGTATTTGATATTAATAAAAATATTCAATATTAAATCTTTTTATTAAATATGATTTTAATTGATTTTTAACCTTATTATAATTTAAAAAAGAAATTTTTTAAAATATGAAATGAAATTATAACTAAAGTTAAAGTTAAAAATATACGAAACAATATCATACATCTATTTTAGGTTTAATAAATATTACAAAATAATCCTCCTCAATCCCTTCTTTATATCCATGTGCGATAATATTCAAATCATCATCTCCTTCAAATTCACCTTTTTTCACCATTTTCACCTTTGGTAACTTCACTTTTCCTGAAGATAATGGAAAACAATTCACTTTAAAACAATATTCTCCCATCCCCGGTACGATAAAATGCGTTTGTTTATATCCAGAAAAGACAAAAGAATCATTTACTTCTACAGTCACATGTATATTCTTTTCAGATTTTGTCCAGTTTATAATTTTATAACGAAGAGTAAATAGCTGTCCTACTTTTGGATTTGGTGGAATGTTTATAGTTGCTGAGATTTCCGTCTTTTTTCTTTTTAATTGTGGTACTCTCATTGTTGACTCTGTATTAGAAAGTTCAAAATCTTTGTACACAGGAGATTGTTGTTTTCTTTTCCATTGAATCACCAGAAATCCAACACCTATATCTAACTGTTTGATGTCCTCTAATGTCAACTTTAACAAATAATTTACATGATATACATTTCCTTGTTTCCAGACTTATTAAGTAATAATAGTATTAGTAAATTTAAAAATTATCTTAAATCAACGATTAATGATTTCAATTACAAACCTTGTTCCCGAAAATCATTATCTATTTCAATTGATGATGCATCTATTTCTATTCTGGTCTGTTCATTTGCTTGTTTTAACTAACAAAAAAAAAAATTAATGACTGTGTATTAGTAAAAATGCAGATGTACATCATATAAAGGTGTAATAACTTTTCTACCATTTCTAAATCAATATCGTATACTGAAATCTCCCATGGACTTGTTGTTGTAATCTTTGCGACTAGAAGATATCTCTCAACTCTTTCCAAAGGATTTATCGAGCTTCCTTTACAAAATTCTTCGCTTTGTGGTGAAATATTAAAGGAAAACGTGAACGGGGAAATAAAATGTATTCTAAGATCTTCCCTCTTTTCAATCCATCCTTGTGTTGGAGGCGGTGCAGATGGAACTGAACTAGTTGATGCATAATAAACTGTTAAATGAAGTGTCCGCGAAAAGTTTGATTTTTTTCCAAGGACATAAACCATCTTCACCACAGATTCTCCTGCCGGTATTATTCCTATATCAATGTCTTTTAAATTGTTAGAAGAATTTGTTGTGGGGTTTAATGTAATAAAATCTTCTGAATCTATCGAATTAGGTGGTGCATCTGTAAGAACCTCCGCATTTAAAAATGCCTTGACTTCTTCTTGTTCCAAATTTACTATAGTAATTTCTATAGGATAGTGTTCGTCCAGTAATGCTGGAGCCGAGTGCTTAGCTTGTATATCTAACTTGGCAAGTTTTTGTATAACCCTAAGTTTAAAAACCAGTTAATTTTAGTATTATTAAAGGAAAAAAAGAATTTCCTTTTTTAATGAATAAATTTAATTACTTGATAGTAGTACGTTCTCCTATTCCATTTAAGATCGTATAAGTAGGCTTAATGACTAATACGAGTAAAATAATATTGTTCTGGTAAATTAATTTAGTAAAAACATATTATAATTTCATTCGTATGAAAGTGTTATCATATACCTTCGCCTTCGGAATCCACTTCACCAATCACCCATTTACGTTTAGAACGTTCATCCTTTGCATTTTTCAAATTACAATGAAGTTCAACCTTCCATTTTTCAGATAATAATCCAAAAGAAATAGTCTGAAGCTATAACATAAAATGTTATAAGCAAATATATATATATATATAACTATAAAAAATTTAATAATGAAATGAATTTACCTGTATATCCCCACTTTCCTTTGGTTCAATCAATCCTTCAAAGACTTTAGTAATACCTTTACTAATCTTCAAATTAACGTCCTTAACCCATACTAATCCTTCACCATCAACTTCCTCCTGTGAGCAATTTTTGCAATCCACCCATTCTAATTTTGCATTGTCTTCTTCATCATTACTTTTATCACGTAAATAATGGTTGAAATACGAGTCATTAAACGACAAGCGAAGAAAAGAGAATCGTAAAGGAATAGGTGGTGATTCAGCTTGGGTTGTGACTGTAATTTGAAAGGGGGTTTCGGCACCAATAAATGTTGTGTCGCCTTTAAATTGAACACGGCATGTTACTGACATTAAAAGTATTCTGTCAAGGTAAATATTTTGATATAATTATCATTCATAAAACGCAAAAAGGATACTGAAAGAATTTATTTCATCCATGTCAATGGCAACTTTCCGAAGCTCGGGAAAATTGGCCTATAAATGTAAGATACATTATAAAATGTACTGTTTAATCCGGAACAGGACAGTTATTCATCACATACTTTAAAAAGTACATCCATAAGTTCATTATGAATTTCGGCTCGGTTTAGGTTTGACATGGAAAATTCTAAATGATCAAGAAATTGACCGAAATAAATTATAAACCATGTTATTTTTTACATAATTCATTAATATATTCATGGACTTACGGTCCGATAAAAGTTCAACTAAATACTCTAGAACATTCTCCCAACCACCAAGTTCTTTAGCGCATTTTAGGGAACATCTCAAAATCGATTCCAGGATTGTATGCCAATTTTCTTTACGATATGTTTTGGCAATCCTTTCAAAAAACCTATTAAAATATTTATGAATAAATAACGTTTTCTCCTTGAAAACTCCGAATCCTAAGTAAATTCATAATATACTTTAAAGCCGTTTCATATTTTCCAGCTTCCAAGTAAGTGTTGGCGATCTCAGATGCTAAATACAGCGTCATACGACCAGTTTTTTGTGCCTTAAATTGCTCATAACTCTTTGTAAACAATTCAATTGTCAATGTTGAGTGATCTACATTTCGCTCAGCTTCTAAGATATTTTGTGGTGGAATGTTCTGGAGTTCAAGCCCCTCTTTTTTCATAAACTAAATAGAAATAAAAATACTTATAAGCTACTTAAAGAAAAAAAAATTTTTTTAATTTTAAAATTAAAAAATCAAGAATACCATTTCTAAATCCAAAAATTTTTTTCTTCTAAATGAATTATATTTTGCTGCCATGTGATAATAAAATCCTGGGTGTTGAAGAATCATCGTTGGATTAATTCCAGAACCTGTATTAGGATTGTGTGATATACTAAATCTAAAATCCGATGATACCGTGTTATGAGAGATAGTTGCCGGATCCGGGATAACAAATCCAGATCTAGTGGCAATTTCTAGAACGTCACCAAAAATACGATACTGTTTCGATAACCATGCCCAATACTCAAACGTATCTTCACCGATACCCAGAGTGTCAGATATGTTCCTAAAAGTGGACACGTGTTTATTCAATTGAGCAAGCGCCCCAGAAGGGGAATCGATATAAAGGTTCAATTTACATATCTAAAATTATTAAAGTAAATGTTGAAGAATTTGAACTATAATTATATAAAGATAAATATTAAAAGATTGCACAAACTTTCAGATTAATAGTATCAGCAAGAATTCTAGCTTCGCCCCAACGCTTACTACGAATCGGAAGTCCGATCGCGCCAACTGTGATAGAAGACTGAGGCGCAAAAAGATCTACAAGAAGGTTATAAGCCAATTCGTAGTAGCTGCATAATGATTTCTCAATTAGTCAAAAAACAATTGTGTACATATATATATATTTTTTTTTAAAAAAAAAAAAAAACTTAAAAATCAAGGAACATTACTTAATAGCCGCCTCCATTTCTTGTCGAAATTCAGCAAAAGTTGCCAACTTGTAATCATATCGGATCATCCAACCTTGAACACCAAGAGGTTGTGGGATGGTCGAAGATCGCATAGAATTGGTACTAGAAGGGGAAGGTAACCTAGTTCGCTTCCTTTTTACGCGCTTGCCATGTTCTCGATAATAATTTAATCCATGTTCATAAAGGGATTTTTGCAGGCTTTTTCATTTGCCAGATCTCATTTTCAGTATTTGATCACGTAAAATGTGTTGCAAAGATGAACATATTTATAAATCATCATAATAAAAAACTAAAAAAAAATTCTACATACTTTATCACGAAATCTTGTAAATCTCCATGCTGAGATGGTGTTAGCAAGAAAAATGAATTTCTCGTATCTAATCCACTAAATCTTCGAATATATCCTAATCGTTCTTCCATCGTTTGATCTTTCATGTTTTGCGTTTTAAGTAAGATAACGGCCGAAAATTTAATACCTCTCTCATGTAAGGATTTTCTATAAAAGTCTTCACAAATCAGTCGAAATTCAAGAGATATTATATAAAATAAAAAAATTGATAATCGCATAACCAACCTCCTTTCATTCATCTCCATCGCCAAATTATAATCCTTTTCCCTTTCAATTGATTCTGCTGTGCCCTGGGGTTCCGGTGCTGGAATGATTTCTTCCTTTTCTTGTATAGGATCAGATGAAGACCGATGCCACAATTCATAAAAGCCTACAACAACGCTTGGTAAGATTTCTCGATGTTTCCTTACCCATATAGGAGGAATCAAACCATCAGGATAAACGGGAGATCCTTGTGTTAACGGGGAAAGAGGTGAATGTGCAATTGGCATATTTGGATGATGAGTTTGTGCTGGAGGTCTCATCATTGGTTTTCGAGGAGGAAATTGATGATTCTATAAAATCATATTATTAAATGTTTGAAATATGAGGAATTTTAAATTTTTTTAATTTTTTTTTTTTTTTAAAAAAAAAAAACTAAAAGTTATGATTTCAATCGCATTATAAATAACACAAGACTTTATTTCATTTGAATATACATTTGATTTATAACGAATCGAATCGCAATTTATTTCCTAATTACAATGAAATACTCTTAAATGATTTAAATTCGATTTCTATCAAATAAAATCAACAGACCTTGTCTACAGCAACAACGTGAAAGGTTGCACTCGCACTTTTACCAAGCTCCCAAACGCCAACTTGACTTTTTGCAGTTAAATGTGCTAATAAAGACTTTGAAAGCTGTTGCCTTGGTGTTGAATTCGCACTCAATGAGCTTCTTCGCGATTGAGGTTTAGAGCTAACAGGAGAACTTGTCGCAGAATCAGCTGTAAAGGTGGGCTGTTCTACCAAGTCTCTCGCTGTGCCTAGACCGATTACAGCCATTAAAGGAACATGGTGTAAAATGAACTCTGGAGGATAATTATCCATAGTAGAATTCGCGAAAAAAAAAACTAAAAAGCAACAAGAATTGAATTTCTACCATTAAATCAAATATGATTCGTCACGTGATATAAATTTGTCATATACTGCGTGTGGTCTGTCAAAGTTTATATTCCATATAGCATTGCATACATTATTAGAATATTTAATAAATTATTTTATTCATTTTAAAATTTCACAATTTTCTTTTTTAATTTATTCTTTCCAGATTTGATAGTATTCAATTTCTCTTCAGACATTTCTAGAACCTGAATATGAAAATCATCATCATCAGCACCATGTTGCAGATCCAATTTGCCTACTACAACGGAGGTTCCAATAGCTACATATAAAAAGAGAAAAGGTTAGAAAATAATCAAGTAATTACTTGCGAGATGAATTTCAGTTAAATTACCTTGATTTTTCAATGTACAATCTTTAGCTAAATGAGTTACTTGACTACAGAATCTACATGTACCACCGTTAGGATATAATCCTTTTTCGTTCTTTAGACATTGTCTAGAAAGATGTCCTTGCTCATTACAAATAAAACATTTTGCATAAAGGTATTCATCACCTAGAAAAACGTAAAAAGAATAGCAACTTTAATGAATCGAATGAATCGTCTTACAAAATATATTAATATAATATAAACCTCGTTTAATTGTTTTTTTGCAATCTTTGGCAATATGTTCGGTTGAACTGCAATTATAGCACATGCCTACACCTTGTTCTTTTGCTTCTGTACAGTCCTTAACGCTATGACCTTTCTTCCTACATCCAAAACATATCTGTATGGACAAGACGTTAATTCTTAGCTTTTTTTTTTAAGATGATTATGACCGAAAAAGAAATTCAATAGTCTAATCGTACAGTTTTGTTTTGCCGTTCTTTTAATCTTCTCTGTCTACGTTTTTCTGACCTTTTCGATTTAATTTCTGAACAAACAAATGAATTAAGTATTATCCTTATAACGTTACAAACGCGCTTTAAAAATGGTTATAGTACCAGTATCTTCGGTTTTCTTTATCTTTTCTTTATTTAATTTTAATTTCTTTTTAGAATTCTTTTCCAAATTAGAGTTGACCTCAAGCTTTTCTTCTCGAAATTTTCTTTTGTTTTTCTGTTCTTTTATTTTAGAATCGTCTTGTTCGACTTCTTTATCTGGTTGAAGTGGCTTAATGTTAAATCCAGCAGCTTTTTCATACTTTTTCTTTTCTAATTTAGTATATCTTGTCATGATATTAATGTATTAAAGTTTTTTTTCTTTAAGATGTTCAAATTAAAAAAAAGTTCGTGTGACCGATCATCACCCGTGTCACGCTTTTGTTGGTCGTTAACTAGTAATTTTTTTTTAATCTTTCGTCACTAAGAAAGTTAGAAAGTTTAGGTGGCTTACCTTAACGTAGGTTTTGTCTTTAGCCTAAAGGGCAGATGAGCACAACCAAATATAACCAATAAGAATTTTCCGGGGAAATACTTCAACGATATCTTTTTATTTCAAAGGATTCTCCCTTTGACTAGTATATCGCATAATTGAAAGGAGGATCATAAATGTAAGAATTGATATAGGTTATGTATACGAATGAATATCTTTGGCTAAAACCTTTTTACGAAGTTAAGTATGATTATCACGTGTATTATTAAAAGAACTGAATTTTAATTTTAAGTTTTAAAAATATATATGAATGAAAATATTAAATTAGTAATCCCTTAATAAAGTGGTCGAAAGAATGAAATCAATTCTATTTAAAGTAAAATATCATGCTCATATTTTAGTGATATACATTTCGAAAAAAATGATAAAAATTTCAATTTATATTTTTTTATCACGGCAAATCTAAGTCTACAAATTGCAATCCTTTTTGGACAATGATATTTAAGTTTTAATCCTTTTTTGTCGATTGAGAAAAAGGTGTCGTAGAACTAATTTTCTAGCATTAAAGCAAATAAGGGCATTAGGCATAGGAAGCAAGCTTAAATAACCTGAAGATCGGTACAAACCAAAGATCCAAAAAAGTGGGGAAATTCCACTATTTGATTAGTAAGCAATGATGTAAATAAAGATTTATTTAAAGTAGGTGAACAGTTGATTAAAAGTTTGAACTAGAATTAATGTCCAAATAAAGTTACTTGATCATCCATACATATTATTATACAAAAAAAAAAATTTTTTTTTTTATCTACCGAATTAGTATCAAACTTAAATGGTTCATGATCGATAAATCTGTTTTGTTATAAAAGGAACTCATTTTTTTATTTAAAAAAATTTCAATCAAACCCAAAAATGTTTACAACTCGATTACTAAGATTCTCAAGATTTTATTCTAGCGTTTCCTCATCCCTTAAGGTAGTAATGAACGTTAATTTTATAATCGAATTTTAAACTTAATTTTTTTTTTAAAAAAAAAAATCCAAATTTTTCGTAATTTTCAAGACAGTGGATGGCTTTGTTGGCGCGATAGGAAATACTCCTTTGGTAGGTAAAAATTCATTAATATATGCTTAATGATTTTTAATCACATTCATCGTATAATTACTAATAACTTAATTTCAGATACGACTAAATGGAGTAAGTAAAGAAACAGGATCAGAAATTTTTGGAAAAGCCGAATTTATGAATCCTGGTGGCTCGGTAAAAGATCGTGCTGCTTTATTTGTGGTTAAAGATGCGGAGGAGAAAGGTCTATAATATCCTTGAATATGTGATTATATCGAATATAATAAATCGTTTAATGATAACCAATGTTTATTTTCTTTATAGGTCTACTCAAGCCAGGCGGTACTGTTGTGGAAGGCACAGCTGGTAAGGATTTTACATCTATATAACTTTTATTATCCATTCAAAAGTAGATATATGCTAATTGATTCATTTACGTTATTAGGTAACACGGGTATAGGGCTTGCTCATGTTTGTAGATCAAGAGGATATAATTGCGTGATTTACATGCCAAACACTCAAAGTCAAGAAAAAATTGACCTACTTCGAATGTTGGGTAAGACTTACTATAATCTCTCTTGAGTATACATTAAGATGGTTAACTATAATTTATATTTAGGAGCGGAAGTTTATCCAGTTCCAGCAGTCGCTTTTGAGAATCCAGAAAATTATAATCATCAAGCCCGACGACATGCAGAAAAAACATCGAATGCTGTTTGGACGAATCAGTTTGATAATATTGCAAATCGACGCTCTCACTTAGAAACCACTGGCCCAGAAATTTGGGAACAAACCGATGGCCTTGTAGACGGATTCACGTGCGCTACCGGTACTGGTGGCACTTTTGCAGGTGTTACTCGCTTCTTGAAAGAAAAGAATCAAAAGGTTAAATCATTCATTGCTGACCCCCCGGGTTCCGTCTTATATAGTTACTTCAAGAGTGGCGGAAAGTTAACGGAGCGTTCAGGAAGCTCGATAACCGAAGGAATAGGTCAGGGGCGCGTGACCACTAATCTTCAGCAAGATTTGGATTTGATTGATGATGCATTATATATTTCGGATGAGAAATCTATCGAAATGGTGTACAGAATGCTGGATGAGGAAGGTCTCTACATGGGCGCATCGACAGCATTAAATGTTGTAGCTGCGGTCGAGATGGCCAAAATACTAGGTCCAGGTATTTGGTTTTTCCATTACATTATAGGAAGTAAATTTTCATGTATCTGACACGTAAATAACCAATTTTGTAATAATTAGGTAAGAAAATTGTAACCATCCTTTGTGATGGTGCATATAGATATCAAACGCGGTTATTTAGTAAGTTGAAATTGTTATGTGTCAACTTTTGAATGTGTTTAATGTTAAATAATCTCTATTTTATTTCAGGTCGAAAATGGTTAGAAAGTAAGGGACTCCTACACGCAATTCCAGAACATTTACAAAAATATATTGTGTTGCCTTAAAAAGAAAAAGAAAAAAAATAATTCTTATTCTATTCACGATTTTTTTTCAAAAATTATTAAGTTCATCACCCATATTACTATTTAACTTCATGGTTGTAAGGCAACTTGCCGAAAGTTCTAGATGTAAATTAAACATGTTTATAAAAAATTTATGCATCCAGCGATAAATTATTGAAAATAAAAAAGACAATTATGTTTGTCAAACCTTAATGATATAAATCATGGCATGGTTAATTCATCCAGTTCATCTTTAAATCATATGTCCACCTTCGTAATCTTTCTATGGCTCCACCAAAAGTAAAAGCTGGGCGAACATCCAAATAAAAACTGACTGTTTGAGGCAATTTTGGATCGGGTTGTCCAGAATAAAAATCGATTACGTATGTCACTTGTTTTCCACAACGATCAACAACCCAATCGTGTCTGTCAAAAGGAAGCTTATAACTTTATTATTATTTTTTTTTTTAAAAATAAGAGGGTTTAGCTAAAAATATTTTTAATGTAATATAATATAGTTAAATAACTTTTTTTTATTTGTATAAAAAGTCAACCTTACCCTAACAAATTAAATATTCTAGCTTTCGGAGTAATACTTTTTGCTTTACCTTGAAACTTTACCAATTTCGGTCCACCACATTTACTATTTTTATACGCATATTGGTATAAATATGATTATTACAAAATTACAATAATCAAAATTATTATAATTACTTTTCATGTAGTTTTTCCCAATCTAAGATTTCTTTCCATGCCTTTTCATTCACTGCATTGTGCATTGGCACAACAACACGCATATCTTCTTCTCTGGGATCCCAATTCTTACGTTTCATTGCATTATAGAACATTTGTTCTGAAGGGTATATCCATACTTTCTCACTATTATTTTCTCCAATTCGATTCGAAGTAGTACTTTCGGGAATAACACACGGAATACTTGAATGTTCGCGTGAAGTGTCAAGGGGAATACGTTGTCCTTCCACTGGTTTTTGGTTCGGCTTTAATGGCATATTATTCGATGTATTTATCAACGTGTCGCTACTACATCCTTTCCTCTCATTATTTATAATGGAAGGCAAAGACGTAGCGGCTTGCCATTTTTGATGGTCAACGGGACATTGTAAAGCGCTTGTCGAATTTGTTGAAGTGTCCGACATTTTTTTTTTTTTTAATATAGATTGTTGATCATAATATAAGTCCTAACTAAAGACGCAGATCAGAATCCATAGCATAGATTTTTAAGGAAATTGTAACTTACCTATTTAATTTCTTTCTAATTATTTAAAAAAATTAGATATTTAATATCTGGACAAAAATATATTATTTTTTTTTTAATTTAATAACTTTTAAGCTAACAATTTTTATTAATAATTTTTTTTATTTTATCTGAAACTAAAAATACAAATATTTTGTAAGATATTGATTATAGAGATAAAATAAAAACTATCATATTCATTTTACCAAAGTTTTCTTTGTTTCATTAAAATTGAATCATTACATGTCAAAATAATTTATAAAATGTAAAATTTGCTGCATTTCGATATTATATTAATTGATTTATTAATAAACAGAGTAGATTCAAATAACAATAATATTCAATAGATATATAAAACATGCATTATATAATTATATAAAAATTTATTTAACATTATAATAAATTTAAATACAATATTATATCTATATATTCTAACTATTGTCATTGTAGAATTCTTTAACTCAGATGGCTACATTTTTAACTTTTACTTAAGGTTGCTAACTGTAGTTAAAATGTTAAGATCTGCCTAATTCTTAACTTTACCAAATTTATATACTAAGTTTAACAAATTTATTAAGTATGAAGACTTAAATAATGATATTACAAACAAATTTAATTAAAGAATTCAGATGATAAACTCAATTATAAAAATTGTATAAGAATTATATCAGACTATATGATGATACAAAGAGGTAGAAAATATGTTTTAATTAATTTCTTTAAATTTATATTCACAAAAGAATTAATTTACAATAAAAACAAAAAGTTTATCTATTTATATAAATTTTTTTTGTTAAAACTAACTAATTATTACATTATAAATTAACTATTTAATAAATAAAATATAAATAACTAATAATAATAAAAATAATAAAAAATATGTAATAAAATAATAAAATAATAATAAAATTAAATATTAAAAATTAAAATTAAATTGAATATTTTTAAACTTTGTTTAATTTGTAAATTAAATTATTATCAGTATTTAAAAAATCTACAAAATTTTATAATCTTTTGTATTTTTTAAATTTGTAAAATTTGCAATATTTTTAGAATTTTGTATAATGAGATCATTATACTGCATAATTCATATGATTTTATTCTCATTGAACAATTACTTAATAATACTATTAAAATTAATAATAAAAAGTTATAAGTATTAAAATTACAATTAGACCTTTTTAAATTTTCTTTTCTAAATGTATACACTATATATTTTCTCTTTAAATTTATACTTTTATTTATTTTAAACATATAAAAGATTTGCTAAAAAAAAGCAACTCTAAGATTAGTTTCTATTTTTATATAATATACCAAATAAAATTTAAGCTTTAATGTTAAGGTAATTTATTTTTATAATTTTTATATCAGGTAATTTATATTATAAATGATTAGTTAAGAAATTTATTAAAAAAAGTAATTTTAAAATATTGTTATATCAAAGATTTTATTATTCTTTTTTAATATTTTGAACATATTTTTTTTAAAAAATTTTTAATATTTAATTTTATTTATTTTAATGTAATAATATTTTTAAAATCACTTTTTATAGTAAACATTTTTAAGAAAATTATTTATACTTAGTATTGGTAATTAAACTTATTAACTAATTAAACTAATTAGATATTAGACTTATTAAATTTGTATTATAATGCTGAAAGTCATAATTCAATAATATTTTAAAATTTTTTGTGAATTTTATATCACATAATTAGTAATTGACTAATAAAAAAATGAGATATTAATCATTTTTTTATATATCATTTTAAAATTAGAATAATTTAGGTTGATATTATAATTAATTATTAAAAAATTTTTAAGTGTTACATTTATATTATTAAATATAGACTTCTTGTATTATAATTAATTTAAATAATTAATTAAATAATTAAACTTATTTTAATTTTAACTATTATTATTATTAATTAATAAAAATGATTTAATAATAATATTAGAAGTTTGCTATTTATAACCACTGGTAATCAATACCAGTATCACGTGATTATATATTTCATGTGACTTTGAAGCTTTTTTACTTTTATTCATTATTATAAATTGTATATAAAATTAACACATTTAATAAAGAATTTGAACAAGCTAAATTTTTTTTTATTTGTTTCAAGTACAACTATTATTATTTAACCATATTATCCAACTATGTAATTATACTAATTATTCATTTTCTTTGTTAGTAGATGATTCAACTTTGTATTTTGAATATTTCTAAATATTATGACCTTTTTCAGAACAATAACTACACATTTTCTGTACTGTTGTTTCATTGAATTTGCCTGATATAATACAATTATTTTCTATCATTGATTTATACCTCTTAGAAGATCATCCTTTTAGTTTATAGTATTTAGAGTTTAATACTTTAGGAAGAATAAACAAAGGTTAATGATTATCTTTAAAAGTCTCTTATAATTCTTATAATAGTTCAGTACCTAAAAAAAAATTTCTTAAATATTTCTGATACTTAAACTATGCTTATTTATAAAATTATTAAGTGATTATAATACAAATTCATTAATGCTAGTCTTAAAGTAGGATATTTTGTACCTGAAAAAGAAATAGTATCCTTAGTATTTTTAATATTTAAACCTGTACTTCTATGATATTTCATGATAAACTGAGTTAAAATTCTAATTAATTCAATTGAAGCATTTTCTATAATAACAATTTGAATATTTGTTTTAGCTATAGACATCATGGCACTAAACTGAGTTTTTTTATAATATTTATTTTAATAATTAAAGTATATACATTGTCTGTTCTAAGTTGATTTATGTAACTCAATGATATTGTTGTATATTTTTTTTTACCATTTGCAAATCCATTGAGTTAGTAGTAGATGAATCTAAATTTGAATTATTAAACCAATGTGAATAAATATATGAAATATGAAATATTGTATTGTCTAACTAAATAAGTATCTTGAACTGATGGCAACATATCATTTTTTGATTAATAATAAACATACAAGTGCAAAATATTATTGAATTTTTGAGTATAATGTAATGTGATTTTGAAATTTTTGATGCAATATATGATACTTTCTAAAGCTTAATAATATTATCATAGAATATAACATTAAAGAGATCTCATAAACAAATTTGAGATATATTATATGAATGCTTTAATATACCATTAAAATTGCCTTTATTGTCTTTAATTTGATCAATTGAAATTAAATTAGCTTGATAAAGTAACAATTAGTTCATTTGAGCTCTTTGAATTAATAATAGAATAGGCAATAGATTTACTTGTAATACAGAATTAAGTTCTTCAAAAATAGTTTTATAGATTGATAAAAGTCCAACTGATGAATTTGATCCACAATAATTATTCATTCAGATATATTGAGATTCTTTATCTAATTCACACTCAATGGATATTACTAATTCTTTTAATAATGTGTCTTAATCAACAAGTTTTTTTATAATACTATTAATTTATTTTACACACTGTATGCTTTCTACTTCTACAGTAAATATTTTTAAGATATAGTGTTAAGTTCAAGCTTTTCAACTAGAATAAAGCCATTTTTTGAAATACGGATGACATAGTTCATATTTAGTTAACATTTCTCTATATTTTATATTAAATTATTTTTCATTATAGCTATTTTTTATAGTATAAAATTAGTCACAAAATTTGACACAGCTTTATTCTAAAGTTTAGACTTTGCTTTTTTTTTAACATTTTTAAGAAGATGATAAACACATAATAAGTGATATATTTGTGAATAGACTACCTAAACAGCTGATATTATGGGTAGGTCACTATTAGTAAACAAAACTTTGGGTTAAAGGTTGTTAGTTGCTTGTAATGTACATTAGAAAATTAAATTAAAATTAGCCTAATTTTCATATTCAGTCAATATTTGTGTTATAATTCTTATTTATAATTGTTATTATAGCAATGAGTAGACTAAGAGCCATTTCATATCATTTGTTTTTGAGGTAATATTGTATACAATGATATTATAAAACTTGAACCATAGATCATTATATTATTGACTCATCATCTAAAATAGTTTTATAAGTTATTAACTGATCTTTTTAATTATGGTATAATAACGTAATCTAAATCATCTTTTTGCTGCTTTAATAAATATAAAAACATTGTGACAACATCAGTTTCATCATAAATCCTAACATCCTAAAACCTTTGAATTGCATTATATAAGTATTTTTTTGCAATTTTATGCTAAAGATATTCTTTAACAAGCAGTTTATATTGCTGTCTAGTACTTAGATTTTCATTTATAGTATAATATTTGATTTTATCTATAATTTGTTATGGAAATCATAAGTTTTTTGATGCAAATTCAATAGTTTTAGGATTACATTAGTGGTTATGCTCCTGTATAAATTTGATGAAATGTATGAGATTTGTATTTTTACTGAAAAAAAACTAGCTTGTCATAAGCAATTAGTTTTGTATAATATACATTCTCAGTATATACTAATATCCTCAATCTTCTTTGATTGATGTGTTTCTAGTAAACATAACTATAATGTCAAATGATAGATTTATTAATAGGATCAATATTCTTCTGACTTTTATTAGCCATAAACTATTTTGCTTTGCATACGATTTAATATTCATTTAGATCAATTTTCAATTACTGAATAAATCATTGTTCTTTAATGTAACTTTATATACATTAATTATCTCATCATCTGTATCACTTTTTTCACTTTCTTTATAACTAAATGAATAACTTTTTATCACATTATTAAAGTATAAAGGCACAACTGTTTCATTATTTATAGAGAAACAATATAAGTAAAAAAGGTTATTTACTATTTTCAGTAAGTATTTTATAAGGAGTATTTCTTAATCAAAGGTAACCTAATCAAACAGTCACAAATATAATAGTTATAAAATATAACA